ACGTCACTGCCCACTTGCGGCTTCGACATATCGCGACACGATGACAGCACTGTGACTCTGTGTAATCTGTGTGCCGCAGAGGATGCAGAGCATCGGCTGTCGCCGCAGTTCATTTGCAGGGAACAGCGATGAAGCCGTGAATAGACGACACGCGAAACTGTTTGGTGGTCTGGCAGCATTGAGCACGCGGCCATCTTGGTAGCGTCAAGTATCTTGAGTTTCGGTTTCTCAGCATTTCCAGGGCATGGACGTTCTGCCACTAAGTGCGATTCGGAATCTTTATTGTTTTCCGACTTCCGGGCACACAACGTGGACAAAGGACTAGGTCGTCATGCCTTTCATTTCTGAGGACACTTTTAATTCTTTTTTTTTTTTTTCGATGCGAATACGCATGAAGTCGTACTGTTTAGCGGTAGACTGCTCCACGCCAATACATGCGACTCAAAGTTTTTTTTTGGTGAAAAGCTTTGTGTTTTTTTAGAGGAAACTGCCCCGGGCAATACTTTTCCGGCTTTGCAAAGAGCTCAAATTGGTTTCAGATAGCTTTCACCTCAAGCACAATTGACGGATTGCGCTGTTAACTTGTTCAACATTGAAAGAATAACCAAACTGACTTTCTCAATAGACCCTTTCCAAAATTCAGTCTGGCCACTTTGATCACTATCATCATCTGTGGAACGGCATCTGTGCCATACCAATGGCGGCCTTCTAGTGACTGATAAAGGAAGACGTTGAAGATGCTCCTAAGCGGCTCTTGCGAGGCCTGTACATTCGGGGGTCAGTACGACGCGACGTAGGAATGGAACACAAGAGCTACGTAAGCGTTTATTTCTAATAACTGAGATTCAGTCAATCTGTGGGCGGCACACAGTCGGCTTTAAAGCACTTTGGTGTACAGAATTTTCTCGAGGCATCTGAGTGGGTTGAAGCTTTGTTCTGAATGCAGGTTCTTGGTTACCATCGAACTGAAAGTGATCGAGAAAGAATTCACACTGAACAATTACTCGCGTGCCGTGTACTCGCGAAAGTGACGGTGCCGATACAAGTTCATTTCCGCCATTGATATGGCAAAACCTAAACTGCTTTACAAACCACCAGATGGCACTGAATTTCGGAAAGAGTCTATTCTACCCCGGGATCTCCTTTGTACTAAACAACAATTTTACCTCGGCGGCGAAAAAAAAGAAAAAAAAAAGACAACAACAGGAGGTTGTGAAATTAAGTTGGCACCGCTCGTGTCGCCCCATTCCACGTCCGCAAGGTGTAAGTTTTCGCCGCCGCCGACATGGAGGTTTTAGCCGTTGCGATGAACCTAAGTCGAACGTGGCGTTCGACAAAAAGGACAGCAAAATTCCGTCTCTGGTGAGTATTGAGCAAACAGACACGTCGTCCGTGTCTGTTGTGTTTTCTATTCCACATGACCGCGCTTTAAATATTCAAGAACATTATATCAACAAACTCTTCTGTTTAGTTTTAGAGGTGTTTCACAAAAGTCGTTTCCCGACCCCAAATCAAGTGTATAAACACCGCTGCAAAGCAATGAGATTGTTTTCTGGCTTTCCAAATTATTTTCTTTAATATATGACATTAAAATGAGGGCTCTGTGGTGCTTTCAGCTTTCGTTGTTCACTGTTAACCATGCGTATCTTCAATGATGATTGGTGGTGTAGATTATTAAAACCAATCTTTTTGCCTCGCTTAACAGCCTCATCCGCAAACATTGAGCTACTTGCGCATCAAGAAAAACGCAAGCCGACACTGCAACGCGCATAAAAAAACTATATAAAAAAAGTTCAGAAACAAGTTTGGTACAACTTCGCGAAAAGATTACGATCCAGTTTAATAGGTGTAAATGGCTTCACGCCGCGCGATTACGTCCGCATGGCTCTTCGCGTTGTCACCGATTGTTTTTGTCAAAAGCATGCGTCTCAAGTAACAAATAAAAATAAGGGAAACTTGTGAACCCTTTTCACGTCACGCGCGAATGGAAGGTTTATCGCTGCATTCGCAGCGGAACGCAGCAACGCGTTGGCATCGCATCTCTCGCTCGCACGAAGCGCGGTCGCTTGTTTACGCGGGATCTTTGCCGGTCGGGTCACTGGTTTCGGTTTCTTGCCGCTACCAAGATGGCGGACGTAGTTCTCGGCGCCCTACTAGATGGCGCTCTACATTTCGCATATGATCTATTGCCTTTTTGTGTTTATTTTTTCTCTCGCAACACTGGAAAACGTTAGAAATATCGCTACGAAAATCCAGCCTCTGTCTCGTTACCCTCTTCGTTCAGTTGTACCTGTCCCGCGCGGCACGTTAGCAAAACTCGGACTCAAGAACGTAAAAAAAAAAAAAAAATAGCAAATTGACATGCCGTCATCAGCACGAGCTGTTTGTAAAGGAAGTCACCACCTGCTATAAAGAACAGTTTTCATTGTGCAATAGGGGAACTCATGCTGTCAGCACGACCGCTAAGCACACAGCTATGGCCGCCAATGAACACTACCTACACAAACAAGTGGGACTGTGGTTCATACTCACTTTCGTATGGTGCCCTACGCCCCGTTCTTGCGGCAGGAAGCGCTTCCTGCTTGAAAGGAAAACGAGCTGACGTCTTTTGCCCTGCCTCTTTCCACGAGCGTTTCGAGCTTTCGCTCTATCGCCTAGCGAACTGAGCAAATTATTTCCCGAGGCTAGCTGTGGAAAGGGGAAACCTTGGTGACCCACTTCAGTCGAGACGGCGGTAGGGTGCAAGGCCGCCAAACGCGTAGATATATTTATTTCAGCGCGAGTCTTACCCGGAGAGAACGAGGAGGATGGGAAGGGGGAGAGCAGTAATGAGATGGCAGGAAGGCGTTGGTTGCGTGCGTCTACGAGAGGTAAAGCACGCGATCAATTTGCGAGCCTGCGTCTTCTGTTCCTCGTCCTGCTCGTGCTTAGTTGCTGGCGACATCTCTCGAACACGCCGCGAAGCATATACGAGAGAGCCATGTGAGCGGATAGCAGTTCGATCTAGGGATGTCGCGAACCTGCCCAGGTTCGAGTTTGACCAAGTTCGCCGTTTTCGACCTTTCAACGCGATGCCATCGACGAAGGTTCGATTGAAGTTCGACTTTTGTGCGCACGAGCGAAAATTAAAATACCTTTTGGAGGAAAAGCGCAATATTTGTTGGGAGTATTGGCATCACTGGCTCACATCATTAACTAATGAATACATTAAAAGCGCATATTTTCGTTTCAATATGGTCTAAAGATTGGTAATCATTTTGTAAAGTGTAAAATCATCTACTTTCTAAATTATTTCTTTCCCAAAATTCGAAATATTTCTGTAGAAGCCGGGCAACATTGCCCATTAGTCGAACTTCTTTGGACTTTAGTGAGAGGTCGAAAGTTCGGCGAACCAGTCGAACTTTGAGGTTCGACAAAAGTTCGCGACACCCCTAGTTCGATCATCGGCATCTGAGACCCATCCGCTGACTTTGTATCTGCACCCGAACTACATCCGCAATGTTCTTAAATTATTTTGTCCACATTCGAGTTGCATCAGCATACTTTGTTTGCGCATCCGAACAGCACCCGCAAAACATGAAACCGCACATTCGACCCGCCAATACGCGCATAATTATAAAATCAAACACGAATAAAAAAAAATAAAAAAGAAGCGTCTAAGTGGTATTTTGTACGTAGGCCCGAGTTTTCGGTAAGTTCCGATTAATCTCGAGAATTAACGCCCGAAATAGTATTCTCAGAATAAAAAAAAAAAAAAAAAAGAAAAAAATCCCGAATTGGGGGGCGGTCCTTTAACAGAAACAACTCAAGCCTCGTGGGCAGAAAATCTTTACGTACAGTTTTATTTTCCGATTAACCGGAACACAAACCGTTTTCAACTGCCGACAAAACTTTTTTTTTTTTTTTTTTTTTTACATTTTATATTGCGTTTTATTTCCCTGGCCGGTACTGGGTCATTTTTCAAGTATTGGGATCAGGCGCATGTTCGTTGGAGGATGAGAAATTTTGTTTCCGAGCCCTATTTTCTTCGACATAAACCCCTTTAACCCCCTTTTTTCTCTTTTTTTTTTTTTTTTTGTTCGACCCCGAAAATTGACACCGAGAAACACCGAATCTGTAGAAAAAAAAAAAAAAATATTAAGCGAAAACAAACATGAAACCATATTATAAACCGTTTGGTTAATTCTCTATAAACAACTCTTCGTTTATAGAGAAATAAGCTTTTTATATTTTCTTGTGGCTTGTACGTTTTATGTTTTCTTTGCGATTGATGCCCTTATATTCTTTAGTTTTTCTGGGGGACAGCATTTTTGGCGGTTGAACACTCGAAAACGATCTTCGCTGACAATCAAATCTTTGCATAAAAAAAAAAAGAGAAAGAAATCCCCCCCCCCCCCCCCCCTCGATTCACACCTGCTTTCTAAGACTAAATTGATCCCGCAAAACATTCCATGATGTACTGTATAGTATAACTCACGTAATCACTCTGCACTCTACGATCACACTCCTTTATGGGCGCCTTTGAAGAAATATGGACCTGGACCTGCGGATACCCGCATCCGATCGACAATCCGCCAAATCCGATTTTCATCCGTATCTGCCAGTTGACTGCGGACATCCGCGGGTAATCTAAGTGTATGCGCAGCTCTACTCATAAATCCCCATACATCAAGGACACTCACCTGTAGGGCACCATCTTACCGCCCAATCCTGCTTACGCCAACAGCCGTTTCGCAGAGAGTTTGAATACTTGGTGCAAAATGCTCGTTCGAAATGTCCCCATTCTCTACTACTTTTTTCTTAGCTTAGAACGAAGTGTACCAGCCAAAAAGGCTTCTAAACTCGCTGTATCACTCAAACATAATTATATGTATTTATATATAAAAAAAAGATCACCCCTACCTTCATTAAGTGGCATGGAACAAGTCTCACGTAGTAATTTCACTGATGATTCAGTTAATTATAAGAGGACAAGTAAATGGTGAGTACTAGTGACAGCATGCGTGTACTTTTTTTTTATTAATAGCAAAATTTAAAACACATCCGGTAGCACGAGCCACACGGAGCACAAATCTGACCTTCAATCAGGATATACGATTGGCAGGGCGTTCGGCTTCATGCAGACATAGTGGCAAAAAGGATAGACGATGATATTTTACGCGTTCAGTCCACCCAGTTCGGTCATGGAAGGTCGCACTCTTTCCAGAGCTGCATCACGTCACTGCCTGCTGTTTTTATCGCAATGCGCTGCTTCATTCTTTCGACCTGTTCCGGCGAAAAATAGTTCCTCCAGTCTCCCACTACGCCCTTGCGAACGAAATCGCCAGTAAGCGGCTTCCTGATGGCTGCTTCCATCAACTCTTCGCTAAGTTGCTGCGATCCGTCAGAATTGTCCAAGGCCGGTGGGTCACGAGCCATCTCTGACTTCCACTCGCCTCTAAACGCCTTCTTCATGTTCGATACGCTGGACGATTCCAGAATCCGTTCCAATACCTTCGGGTCACTTCGCAACCTCTCGCCGTACTCTTTACCCAGAAAGTCAGCCATCTTCAGCACCCAGGACGCCGTGTCCTTCTTGAGGTCTTCGTAGGTCAAGAAGAAGACATTGGGGTCGTTCCGATGTGCGTACCAGGAGAGCAGTGTGTCAAAGAAGTCGCCGCATTCTCCTGTCCCTGCCACGAACAACTCAAAGAACTGGTCAAAAGTACCGTCCTCGAAGAAGTAGGCGGGCATGATCTTCATATGGTGGTAGTAGGAGACGCAGCAGTCGTAAGGGTTCCTGGTGACGTACAGGTACTTGGCATCCTTCGAGTAAGGCTGTTTGTCGAATGGGAGGTGCGTCTTGATGACGCCCGGTCTCGGCATCTGTTCGGCGGCTTGAGCCCCGAGGAATTCCAAGAAGGGTGACTTGGCCATGAATTCCTCCTTGTCTTTCGGGGGCACGCCACCACTGAAGATGTTCCAGAGGAGGTACTGCATCCAGGTGGTACCGCATTTGGGATAGCCTACGAGGAACACGTCATCCGGCCTTGGCTTGTAGGCGAGGGCTGAGCGGACGCTCTCGTCGCTGAAGTAGTAGCTGAGTAAGAGTCCCTCGATCTCCCTGTAGACCGGGGTTGACTTTCCCTTTGTTGGCATTCTTGTTTTGCTCAAGACTCGACTGCTGCTTGCTGGAGCTATTAAGAAAAGGACGGCACGAATGTAGCTTAGCCGTTCTACAATCAGACAAAAAAAATTACCACCCGATTCCAAAACAACTCTTCCACAGACAGCTGTTTACAAACAAGTCCCCGTTTTCCCACATCAGGTGTGGGCACTGTGCATGCGCAGGAACAAGACGCGCGTCAACAGAAGCGTTTGTGTTTGCACAGCAGCGCCACCGCAGCGGCGTGACGTCAGAGCCGCGTGTTGATCCATAGACGCTTTGCAGCAGCCGTGCATGGGCGCCGCCATAACTGACCTTCCGTTTTTGTTTCCTCTTATTCCGTTTACTTCATCATTACCATAGCAGGCCAGGTTATTGCCATCTAAGCCTTTTCCTCAGCATTGGCCTTCGCGGAGGCTCGTCAACGCTTGTTTCAGTGGCTCGGTATCTCGGTAAGACAAGAGAAGGTCAGCAATGGCGGCTGTAATGTGACGCGGTTGCAAAGCGTCTATACCGCTTACATTCATTCGTAAAGCAGCATTTCCAATTCATTGACAGCTGCAAGATAGCAGTATATTAATATTTATTATAATGTATGAACGTATAAATATATAAAATATATAAGCTTTTTTTGCCTTCTATTCTTTTTTTTCTTTAATAAATGATGACTACTGTTGTTAATGTGGCCAATAAGAAACGGGAACACTGACGACACTTTTTAAACCTGTAATCATCAGGTGCAGTGATGAACGCACGTCCGTTCAAGGGCTTATGTATATATAATATATACATCTTCGTCCTTGAAGAGACGTGTTGTGCTTCAAGACGAAGCCGTCCTTGAAGCAATGATTTGTCTCCATGTCGCATTATACGGGGGAAAAAAAAGCGTGTCTCCCCTCTTCGTTAATTTATTGAAACCGACAGAACCATGGACCTGCCGGAGTTCCCACATTCAGTATATATATACTGTACGTCAAAAATCCGACAGGTCCACGGTTTTGTCGACTACAATAAATTAACGAAGAGGGCAGACGTGTCTCTTTGTTCTTAAAAAAGAAGCTACTCAGAGCGCAAGTTCGTCTGCTTCTTGCAAAGGGGTTGCGATGACGTCAGAACACTGAGCTCCTATTGGTTGATTAAAAACTAAATAGTGGGTAGACCTCAAGGCATCAAGCATTGAGGTCTAGCCACTATCCTTTAAATAAAATCCAATGAGAGCTCAGCGACGTCCTGACGTAATGGCAACTACTGGGCAAGAAGCAGACGACATGCTCTCCACATTCACCTAGAATAGAATAAAACACAGGTAAATCAATACATATACAAAATAAAAAAAAGGTGCTTCGGAGAATAGCTGGATGAAATGTGAAAACGTGCGCGGGCGAGAACAGCCGCTTACCTCGCCAGAAGAAAAGAATAAGTCGCGTAGTCACTTTATGTTAGCTACCTTCTATAATTCAAAAACCTACGTTTAGGTGAAAAAAAAAAAATACCGGGGTAGTAATTCTATTTTCGGTTAATTTAGAGCCGCGTCAAAACATTTTCAAAAGCGATAGGAAATTGTGTAAAAAGTATTGTAAGACTCCAAAATTCATTAAAAGGAAACTCAATAAAACAACGTCAGTTGAGAAAAAAAAGATAGGTCGGATTGAACTGCGATTTTTTCATGTTATCCAAAGTTAAGTCGTGCCGAACTAACGATGGGCGTCTGGCACGCCTCAGCAAACCACTGAGGGTTAATTTCGAGTCGAACCCCTGGGGATCTTGACGGGCAACCGAAATCTTGGTTACACGGCGCGTCTTGCGCGATACGTGTCCGTCAGATCGCCGCCACCTCGGCCGGGATTCGAACCCTTCAACTGGGGATTCGGAGGCCGGCTCTTTACTTCGGAATCACCGAGGCGGCATCTACTACTGCTCCAGTGTGGAAGTCGGTTTTATAACTCGGCAGGCTAGATGCGCCCTGTCCTATAAAGCATTTTATGTCTTTCGACTCTGGCTAGTCCGGCCGGGTCAGCCCATATTGACTGTACCAACTAGCTAAAATCACCAAACATATTACGAGACAGTTCCCTTTGGGAATGGGCAGTTTTAGCACAGCGCAGTGGTACGGAGTTACATTGCTACCAAAATGCTATACTTCGTTTCAGCGTAAAGTTCGAAACACATGTGCGACGAAACCATCCGATCCGACGTGCGAACTGCCGGAATGACCTTCGGGGGCGAGGGTTTTCGTAGCACCAGAGAGCGTTGAAAACCCTCGCCTCCGACCGTCGTATTGCCTGGTCGGACGTTGGATCGGACGGTTTCGTCGTAAATGTGTTTCGCGCTCCAGATGAAGCCGATGCTACGAGCGCGAG